CATTGTTAAGGCAGCTTCTTTTCAGAATTGTTACTTTGAAACAAACATCTGAAGGATTTCTTCCTTGATCGCTACGCTCTCAACCTTTTCAAGTCCAGATCAACCATTATCTATCTTACATATCCTCATAATATACACTTACATGCTCCTTTTACACTCTTACAACAACATCATTCAATAATGAACAAAAGTATAAAAATAATGACTTCAGAATGGTATAAATTTTTCACTGGGGAGCAATGTTTTATACATATTGATATTTCTGGTGTGATAGAAAGTCTCGGGTTTTATTAATTGGCAGTTTTGAATGAATTTCCATCAATATTTAGTTATTTGTAACACTTTCCTCACAAAAGCAGGTTTGCATTCATAAGAAAATCAATTGACTGATTGATAGATTTCGTTTCATGTAATCGCAAAGTTATTAATTACAAAACATAATGTTTTATGGAAAACTCAATCTACGTGTCTGTGCTTGAACATGACATGTTTGAACTGTTAAAGTTTATTATTATTAGAGTTTTCCTTCTCTTAGATTAGTTGCCCTCCAGTCTACCTTGCTAACTCGTGAAGAGATACATTCATTATGCACTTGAATTATTAGTGAATGCTTTTGTTCATTTGAAAAAAAAATATTGATTTTAAGGCTCTTCTTCAGTTATTTGATTCGACTTAATATTTACTTTTAAATGATAGTAAAGAATTAAATACAAGATTGTGGAAAGGTCTTGCTAGATATTTACTAGAAGAGTAATATTCACTGTAATATTCCAAAAGGAGTGTCCATTGTAGTAAGTTAAAAATAATAATAACCCCTTCACCCACTTCCTTCAAATTCGGAGGATTGGGGAAGATCAATAAAGAAATTCGGGAAATTGTGTTAAATTGTTTTTCGACCTTGATTTTACAGAATTGGCCGAGGAGAAAAATTAAATTAACGAGAAGAGTGTTTGAAATCATGTGAAAGGTTTCGTTTCAGTTCCTCGCGTCAAGCGTTGAAATACTCGCCAGTGTAAAATTACTTGTCAATTATATTATTGGCCCCTAACCAGCACGTAGTACTTCAAAGAATTTTCTCTCATGCTAAGTATTTCAAATTATCTCTCTTCTACTTTTGAAAGTATGCACAATATATCCATTCGGCAAACAATAAATTTTCTTACCTTTGTCTTAAAAATTTTTTTAATATTATTTTGTGTCAAATCATTTAATCTGTTGTATGAACATTTCCTCTTCATGACAATACGTTAAAACTACGGACTTATTTTTCCTGAAACGAGCTACTGATAATACTTCAAGCGTGTAAATTCGTGAATAAATTCCTTATTTTGTTATATTAAAATTATTCGTGTGTTTCTTCGTCATTATCATTCTTCATTAATCTTATTAGCATGGGTTCATTTTAACCCCTAAGCTCGATGTCATAATTTTTACTTACAGCATCTATTATTTCTAAATAGTTAAAATTTTAGTATTAACCTGATATCTTTTTTATGCCATATCTCTACAAGATGTTGGCAGCCTTGTCTTTTGACAGTGTCCCTTCCTTTATTACCTAAAAATTAAAATACTGGTTTGGAAAAAATATTGAAATGGTTCACTATTGCCTTCCCTACGGTTTGAAATTTAGAGTTTTTCTTCTCTTAGATTAATTGTCATTCAAGTCTAGAGAATCCAGTCTATTCTGCTCTTTAACCCATTGCCGGAGGGAGAAAAAACACATTCAAAGTTATAAGTTTGAAAGTTGATGCAACAACTTTGGCTGCAATTTGAACTCAGATTACCTATCCCTACTATCTACGTCAATAACTATTATCCTATGCACATAAATGAAAAGTAAATAATTAAAAATTATGCATTAAAATTAAATAATTGAAAAATGTATATAGAAATGTCGGGTTAGCCTCTTCTAATTTTTGAAACTGCTCCTAGGGGACGCTGTCAGGACTATAAATACTCTGCCATATTTTTCTCACCCTCTTACTTTTTCCACTTACTCGCCAACATGTAAATTTCTCGCGGAGAACGTGCTTTCCTTTGGGAAACGCATGAACCACACACACACACTCACTCACTCACTACATATACTTTGCACCCAAAAAGTTTTCACATTCATTTGGCACACACATCTTTGTCTTTGTCACCTGTAACCCTTTATTGTTAATATATTATTATTTATTTGTACATATATATTGGTTCTTGTCGATTCTTTTCATTTATTTAAGTGGACTCACATCCCGAGTCTGCTATGTTTGTTGTGGGCATTTCAGGAGACGCATGTTGTTTATTGCTCAAGGCACAGAAATGTATAACGTAGATATTTATTTTGCCGACTAAGGTAAAAATGACTTTCTAATCCACTAAGACTTGCTTAAGAAAATTGGTTCTAAGATTCTCAACTGAAATTTCTTCTCATCCGTAGGGAGATTGCCCAGCATTCCCTGCTATGTAAGAGGATGGAAAGCACATAGTAATAAAATTCTCCTGGGAAGGAATTTCCCCAATTCTTCACTTAGCTAAAATTCTTCCTTTGGTTTCAAATTTCCTTCCGTAGGGAGCATGTGTCTCTTGTATGAGAATCATTATTTTAGAATATATTTACATTTGATTCAGTCAGTTATGTGCCATGCATGATACACACTTACGCGATCATGTATCTTTCGATACATGACTGACGCAGTAGGTTGCCATTTCTTTCTGTGGTAGACCAGTTACCATCCAAGGCTATAGAGCTCGGTCTGTACTGCTATTTACCCAAAGCTGGGGGAGAAGAGGAGTGTATTAGTAATGGATTCGACTGGAATTCGAACTCGGCTCTCCGATTCCTCAATCCGAGCCGCTATCCATTCCTCCACTGTGACATTGATTATAGTAGTAAATATGTCTTTACTACTAATGATCTATTCATTTGCTTTATTTCTTTTTTATTATGTGACATCAAAGCTTACGGCCACATCATGTTGAAACACCGATTCCCGTACGATCACTGAAGTTAAGCAACGTCGAACCTGGTCAGTACCTAGATGGGTTCCCGTTTGGGAATACCAGGTGCTGTAAGCTTGGATGTTCAACTGGTGTAATGTTTAATGGCTCGGAGATCGGTTAATCAGAGAGCGGAATTCCAATTAGTTTCGTTGTATTTACTTACGCGCGCAAATAACCTTTGGAAATGTATGAATCTACCCAGTCTCAGTTAATTAGTAAGACTTGTATTAGTAAATCAGTATTATCTCCCACCCACCAACAAAAATATGTTATAATTTAAGAATATCTCCTGGCTTTGAATAACCTGCAAAGGGTTGATAAGCCATAAAAAAAAAACGAATCAATCAATTTAATTATCTTAAGAACTAAGGAACAAGTAGAATTATGATTATTTATTTTTGTAAAAATACAAAAAGCATAGTTCAATGCTGAAAAATTGGAGAAAAACGAAGGTGTTGGTCTTCACTATTCTATTATTTACTTATCGCATTTATTGACTTGACCATTCTTCATCGTTCATCTTTCTACTTCGCACTTTCAAGCAACAATCACCAAAATGTCACATTATCTCTATGGAACTCTAAATCTGTATTTACAATTTCATGTGGGAAAGGTATATACTACAATTAAAAAAAAATTCTCCAATGATTTAAATGACACAAAATATATTTAGAAAATGTGTTAGTCGTATGCATCGTCATCCTAAAATCTTGTATAGAAGAAAAGTAAATGAACCGACTGAAAAATGACGTGAGAAATTATAGAAAAATAAAATAATAATAATGAGCGAAATATTTCCCATCGCCGAAGAACTTTAGCTTTTGTCGTCTAAGAAAGTATCTTCTCAACAAAGGTCTGTTCTTGGGTAGACCTGTGTTGAGAAGACACAGCACAGTCTGTAACTGGGAAGACACACCACAGCCTGGAACCGGGAAGGCACACCACAGCCTGAAACTGGGAAGATACAGTACAGCCTTGAACCGGGAAGGCACATCACAGCCTGGAACAGAGAAGGCACAGCACAACCTGGAACCGGGAAGGCACATCACAGCCTGGAAAAAAAAGGCACATCACAGCCTGAAATGCTTCATTAAAAAAGCAAACTTTAAAAGATGGAATAAAACATGTTGATAAAATAATACTATTCCCATTGCTGTTATGTTTGTTCATCAATAAAATATAGATGGAATATCTAAAAAGCAAAATAATATGGATAAAATAAAAATAATAATAAAATGCTTCATCTAAAAAGCAACAATAATAGCTATGGAATAAAACTAGTGATAAAATAATAATAATGAAAATGCTTCATCTAAAAAAGCAATATAATGGGTCTAAGAAGGAATAAAACTCTGATAAAAATAATGAATAATGAAAATGCTTCATCTAAAACCTCTAACAATAATAAGAAGGAGTAAAACTAGTGATAAAATAATAATAGTGAAAAATGTTTCATCTAAAAAGCAACAATAATAAGATGGAATAAAACTTTTAAAAAATAATAGTGAAAATAATGCTTCATCTAAAAAGCAACAATAAGATGGGATTAAAACTAGTGATAAAATAATAATAGTAAAAATGCTTCATCTAAAAAAAGTAAAATGAATAATAAGATGGAATAAAACTATTGAACCTAAAAATAACTTAGTAAAATGTTTCATAAAAAAAAATAAAATGAAATTACTGAACTAAAAACAAAGATTAGTGTAGAGATTAAAGAGAGACCTGTGTGTGAAATACGACGGCAGATTTATCAGTTTTTCATCTATCATGACTTTTTTGTGGCTGAATATACGGAATTTGAATTTAAGTCTTTTGTTTATTTACCTTTTTCACAATTTTTTGTTTTTATCTTTGGAGCATTTCATCCAGCCGAAAATGTTGTGATAAAAAGCGACATCAGAGTAAAACTACTAATAAAATGTTATATTTTTACATACACGGATTATCTTGATATAGACATGTCAATTACCAAAGGATGTGTCGTATTTGTAAAGTCAGGTTTACTTAATGCCAAAATCTAATTTGCCATCAGAAAAAATGTTTTTGTTCTCATTGCCCAGTACACGTCACCTTTATAAACCTGTTCAAATGAATCTTAGACCGAAAATAAATGTGAAAGATTTTCACCTGAATTCAAAATTGTGATGTATTAACACACCCTAGTTTGTGTCAGCAGTTGAAATTTTTTTTATATTTGTGCATAGGTAGGAGATGTTTTAGGTACCAGAATGCTTCACCTGATGATAGTGATGATTCTTAGGTCACGTGGTTTAACTAATCCTGAAAAAAACAGTTTGAAGATTATGACCTGAATAATGTCAAAGTACGTTTTTTATTGTTAATTTTTACATTTTTTAAACATAATCTCATAACGAAGGCATATCTTTTTTTCCAAATATTTTTTTCTTTGTAGCAATTATTACATTGTTAAAGATCGCATTCTTTTCAAAGGATAAACAATCCAATGGATATATTAAAAATTCGTTTTGGTTATTTCAAAGACAAAATGTTCAGATTTTTTTCTTTTTAAACCTTAAGGACCAATCATTTTCGGTCGATATAATTAAAATTTGTTTCGGAGGCAACGACACAAAATATTCAAGCCAATTTAAAACATTAAGTGACATTAATTTTTTATGGATATATTTAAAATGTGTTTCTAGGGCGAAGACACAAAATATTCAGATTCTTTTTCTTTTAAATATTAAGGAATGTATTTTTTAATGAATATAAATTTTAATATCGTTGGAAATTTTCATTTATCTATCTTCCTTTTAGATATGGGTTAAATAACGTTAGACTGCATTATTACCTTGAGCGGCAGCCAGTCTAGGAGAAGAAAACTGAAATTGGTCTATATAACTGCTTTCAGGGTATCTTCGGGGAAAAAAAATTGGGACCCGGAAAGCGGATGGATGGCGTTTTCCATCACTTTTCGGCAACTCTTGAGCTGCGTTGTTTCAAACTGCACTGGTTTTTTTTTAGACTCTACTAACAACGCCGTGAGGAGGATCCTGACAAAAAGTAGATCTACAAATAGAAGACAATCATGTTTTAAGTTGTTCTATCATTAAACCATCTTTTCCAGAAACGGACTTAAAGGAATGGCTGAAAAATAAAAATTTTTCTTAAAAATACAAACTGTTTTTCATCCATTGCAAAATTTTTTGCATATGACAGGCTATAAAAGTATTCCGTGCAAAAATCATTCGTGGTTGAGTTTGAAGGCTGTTCTATATATCTTAACCATGATAAGGAAATTAATTCTGATTCATTATGCGATTCCTGTCTGACAGATTTGGTCTATTGTCAATAGTCCAACGGCATTGTGGCGACTTTAGTGATGATTGCTTATTTTTCACCCGTACATGTAATTTTTTACTCTTCAAGGACAATGACTTACGGATCCAAGTCTGGAATTTTATCTGACCTTTACCTGTACTTCAACTAATTATTCTGGCATTTTTTTTTGAGCCTAAAAAACATTCCAAGAAGCGGACGAAGAGTTGAATACATCTGCTTCTCCTAGATTTTATACAAACAATAAAAAATTCAAGCTTTAGTAACTGAAGAATTGAAGAAAAATTTGAAAGAATTTGAGAAATGCACGGAAGAATTAGGATTTTCTTAAACTGTTTATAATCCGATCTTAATTCAATTTGTTTCAACCAAAAAATATGGCAGTGGGTCGATTATAATTTGTTTTTGGTGAATCAACAACGGAAGTGACAAATGATCAAATTTGTCAAAGACTGTCAACGCTTTCGTCCATTATGCTATGGACCTGAAATGATAAATTTGTTCAGTTGCAAACTGGTGATTTGGTATTCATTTATTGGAAGTTCGGAAATAAAACGAATGTTACAGTTGAATTGAAGGGTTTAAACAAATAATATATACTTATTTAAATTTAGATTGTAGTAATTTTTTTTGATATTTGATAATAGCGAAAAAGTTCGTTTATAAGATCAGAATGAAAAGCCTGGAGAAAATCCAGTAGTTTGGTAATTTTTTCGGGTTTGGAAATAAAAAAAGCTACCATGATCTTAGTTCGAACAATTTATACATTAATGATAACGAACCATCTTAAAATATAAGGCTTTTATTTTTACCACTTCAATAAGGATCTAATTTTTGATGACTGGATTACAGTGATCCTATTAATTCGCGGTTCTACTATCGTGGATTCATCTTTTGCGGATTTTAAAAAATATATAATGAAAAATATATCGCGGAGTTTTTGGAAAATTTTAGAAAAATATATATGGAATACTAAAAAATTTTTGATTAAACCCTGGAAAATATTAATAATAAAATTATTTCCTGGTCTAGGAACAACAAAACAAGCGTAAAAAAAGCAATAGAAAGGGAAAATGCCATCCGAAGAGACATAAAATAATTAACGGCTGCACAGTAGAAATCATCATCATATTTCATCATCATTATTTCTATTGTGCAGCAAATTCATCATCAAAATCATCATTCAAATTCTGTTTCTTTCTATCGTATTGAATACAAGAACAACAATTTTATTTTGTTTTTAATTTAAAGTGTTATTCATTTAACAATTTGTTATTAATAGAGTACTGTAATGGGTGGGTTTTAACAGTAGAACAGCGTTTAAAAAGTTCAATTAAACGTTACCAAAATACTGTAAATATGGGTAAAAAAAAACAAATTCAGTTATCGCGGCCGGTGAGCCAATCTACCGGATAAACGAGGGATCACTGGATAAAATCATGGTAGAAAATGGCCAAACTGAACAGAAACAAGGCAGATGGACCAGACGGAAAATAAATGGAAATGCTGACATTGGAATGATATGGAAAATGGCATAGACAAGATCACCGTAAATAACAAATTAAATGACAACAGCGGAATATACCGGAAGACCTCATCAGATCTATCTTTCGTATTAAAAAGTAACAAAAACAGACAATGAGCCATAAAAATTTTGAGCTCTTTTGATCAGAAATCAAGAATCATCCGTATTTTAACGAATGAAGCGCGCGCAGAAGAATCCCAGAGATAGGGAAAGAATTTCCATGATTTAAATTTAAAGACACTGGA